AAGAGTGTCCGACTAATGTGTTTTAGTTCTTACTTGCATGTTATTCCCCGCTGCGCCCCCCCGCCCCATATGTTTGAAATGAACCTGTGTGTCACTAAAGGCTCCAAGTCCCCCTCAGTCTCGCTTTTGTAGTCACTTCAACCATGACTTAGACTGAGGGGTAAGGGATCTGCAGGGGTTTAAGGCTGTGGGCCTTCACTTTTTCCCTCTTGCTTTCTAAAGAAGCATCCTCTATGGAGCCGCACAGCCCACCTCAACAAACTAAACCAGTCACAATATCCTGGAAGTCCTCCATAAGTGAGGTTCTCTTCTACTTTTCCTTCTGATCCTTCCTCCCGTCCTCTGTAATTTCCTAACCCTCCCCTCTCCCCCTGCCCCCACTCCTGCCTCCTTGTAGTCTTCACAATCTTATCTTTTGGGGTGAAGACCACTTTTCTTTTTCTTTGTTTTTCCTTACAGTGGCATCGTAAAAATTAATCTTTATAAGATGGACTAACTTTGCTAAGGATAACGTGCTCTCGTTTGGTCCATGTCTTTCGTGTTTGAGAGTTGTCATCGTTCTTAATGATGCCTAACATTCCCTTGTGTGGATTGCTGTCAGGTGCTGTGGAGTCAGTTCTGTCTGACTCAGCGAGCCGAGAGCACAACAGAAGGCAACACTGCTCCGTCCTGCACCGTCTCCTCGAACGTTGCTCAGTTTGAGCCCATTGTTGGAGTCATGGTGTCAAGCCAACCCCTGCCTGGTCTTCCTTTTCTTGCTGCCTTTGTACTTTATCAGCATAGCGCCCTGACAGTGTTTCCCTGTTGTTCGTAAGGTGGTCAGTGGCTGATACCGGAGAAGTGCACAGCCTATCCTTTCTTCAGACTCTGTTTAGTCTGGAAACGCCACTGAAATCTGTTCACCTTGGGTGATGCTGCTGGTAGTTAAAATACTGGTACCATCGCAGCATGCAAGCCACCACAGCACAACCAACTGACAGACGAGTGGTGGTACTTGTATATAATGCTATTCAATTCCTTTATTAGCTTGCTGCTCTTCTACCTATTTCTATATAATATTGAAGATGGGATATTGAAGTCTCCAACCATTATTGTTCCATATACTATTTCTCCTTGAATTCAGCCAGTCTTTGTTCACACACTTGGGGCTCTGTTTCTAGGTGCATATATATTTATTATTTTATCATTTTAAAATGTACATTTATTTCAAATATTATTGATGTTTTAAGGTTATTTTGTTTGATAATAGTATAGTCACTCCAGCTTCACTAGCATGTATTCAAGGTATGTCTTTTTTCATTCTTTTATTTTCAATCTGTTTGTATCTTTGAATCTAAAAAGTGTCTCCTGAGGCATATAGTAGGATAAAAAAATGCAAGTTGATAACATCTGCCTTTTGATCGGTCCACTCACATTTATGGTTATTATTGATATAGTTGAATTTATATCTTTAATTTCACTTTTTTTATATGCCACATGCCTTTTAATCAATAAATTAGTTCATATTTTTAACATGGTAATCATACATACATACAACACATTTTTGCTCTTTCAGCATTTCTACATGTCTTTTTGGCCCCTTTATTTCTCCTTTATCGTT